ATGCATGCATGCATGCATGCATGCATTATTAGGTAGGGAAAGAGGCTTCCTTGGTGCCAAAGAAGGTATCCACAAGCTCATTGCCTACCCCCCTCAACAAAATTACAACTTCCAGCTGTGAATCATTGCCTTTGCATTTACAGATTACATCTGTAAAATGTCTTGTAAATCTTTTCAATTGTCCTTTATTTCAATTAGTTAATACAAGCATAAGCCAATAAGGACAGCATTAGGGTGTATCTGGAAGGTACCTGAAAACTGAGTAATAAATCTTTGTAGGGATACATTTGAAACCTTCAGTGTTGCCAGAGTACACTTATCTCCAGGCCTGTATCATTTAAATTTGACTTAAAAATGAAACTGTTTATTTGATACTTTTAGGATCCAGTCTTTTCATGTCTGTATAAAAAAGGGTTTGAATAAGAAATGGATTTGAGTCTTAATAGTTTGCTTTCAATAATTTTCAAATGTTTCTCATCAAAAATCTCCTGGCTTGAGAACATTTTCCCCACGTCAATATTTGTGAGGATGATCTGTTCCAAATCAGAGACTATGGCAATGTTACTATTGATAATAATGTTCTCCAAACTATTTTGCTTGGCTCAACAGAGCCCTGCACTAAGCATCTTTGACTATGGTGAAACTGCTTTGTAGCGCAGGAACTAGGCTTTTCCATCCTTGTTTACAATCGATAGAGGGAGAACAAGATAAACCTGTTGTCTGAAACACAGCTATCTATTACAGTGTGACTAACTTGTAAGGAGAAGAATCAGTTGGTCTGTGTTAATTCCAAATAGCAGAGCATTCTAAGAATGCCAGATTTCTTTGTTTTTATTTCTGTTTTTTAAAAAGCAAGATTACCTTCCACCTTTTTACTTATTCCGTTTATGCCCCACTTTTCTATTCTGCCAAATGCTCAAGGAGGATTGCAACATTCAAAAAAACAGAAAGCAATCTTCTACATGCCAGAAAGGCAAAAGGGCGTCTCCTGGAAATCTTATCAGCTGGCAGGTCCCTAAGGACAGAGGTGGTCCCTCAGATAGCAGGACCCACAGCTGTCTGGGGCATGAAAAGTCAGTTCCAACATCTTCAATTGTGCCCTGTAAACCACTGTGCCCAGCTTCTGGCCTAGAGACTCTGTGGTGTGCATTATGCCAGCAGCTGACTGGGTATGCCCATCATGAGACTAAAATGGGTTAGCTAGTTTGGGTCTGTGAGCACAGCCAGGATAGTTTGGTTCTGATTCACTTTATTAGGCAAATCCAAGCAATTAGGCTGGTTCGGCAAACTATGATTCACCGTTCCATAGGTTAGTCTGTTGCATGTATAAGTCTGTTGTGCATGAAGAAGAGTAGTGATCCATGGGTCCGTGGCTAGTGTGCTGATAAGGATTACATTAAGACTGGGAAAATACTCTCAGGCACAGAGATTCAGGGTGGCTTTGGACCAGCACACTCTCTCTCTCTCCCACCAACCACCTAAGGCCGTTGCTGCAGGGAAAAATTACAGGAGGAATCCTGCAGGAAAGGTGGGTTATAACTCTGACATGTAAATAAACTCTCTCTCTCTCTCTCTCTCTCTCTCTTTTTTTTAAACCCTGCTCTTTGACATATTTAAACTGGTGCCAAGTCTGTCCCTGTGTAAGAGGAGAGCGTTAATACTTTTCCTTGAGAAAAACCATTCTGAGGATCCTTCCACATAGTGCATTCTGGGAATGGTAGTTCATTGACCCTTTTTTTAAAAAAGTATGCCTTTCCTCCCCACTCGCGCAGTGTCTATCGGGGCTTGTAGTCCTTCCCCCCCTCACCTTGATGGTATCCAGTGGGTGTCCCACGAAGACCAAGCAGACGCCTCCGAAACCACCCGCAAAGAAGTTCTTTATGGGGCTGATAGGCGCCTGAGAGGGCTTAGGCTGTTCCGCCATGACTGCTTCGGATCGGCGCAACCCTCCCTGCTTTTTGCTCGCCTCTCGAAGCAACCTTTACCCTGCCTTTCCCTCCCCAACCAGGCGGAAAAAAAGGAGGACCTCCGAGATGCCTAGAGAGGCCACTATTGTTCTTGCTTCCGCCACCCGCGGCATCTATCAACCATAGAGAGCAACATTAGACTAGCAAGTTATTTCTGTATGGGTGTTGGTGTTTTTACAGTCTCCTTTGTTTACTGTTAAATGTACGCATCTTTCTTCAGAAGTTAGTGCCAAGTCTTTGTCTGCGCCTTAAGCTTTCTCCCCTTATACACAAAAATCACACTATGGGATATAGCTTATATCAGGGTTTCTCAACCTTGGGAACTTTAAAAGATGTGGGGACTTCAACTCTCAGAATTCCCCAGCCAGGCTGAGAAACACTGACTTATATTATTCAGCTGATAATAGGCTGATTGGTTTCATTCAAAATATGGTTTGTCTTTATAAAGTTGAAATAAAACTTTGTTCAATAAATATATTCATTCAAACCCTTCTTGTTTAAGCAATTGGTGTACCAATTGAAGTTTATGGTGTTTTGCTCTTGCTGTTATTGATCCTTTGAAAGCATAGCAAGTAAATATATGAATACCCCCCCTAATATTCTGGCCACTTTGCCCAGAATATTAGATGGGTAGTTTCTTTCAGTATGCAAGAAAATTATCTCTAAATTTTGTTTGCTTCATTAACATTCATTTTCTCTGCACACTCAATAAATATTGGGAGGGGAGCTCTGTTTATGTAGTTCTTTGTATGATGAAAAACAATTAGTAGTTCCACCTCATGTGAATCTCTGCTCATACATATCTGAATTCTAAATAACAATACTAAACCTTTAAATGATTACCAGAATATATGTTTCTACATTATTCAGTTACAGTTCTCTGCACTAACAGAATGACCTTTGGAACAGTTACACACATAAGACTTCATACTTTTAGTGCAAAACGTCCAATGTTCAATCCCCAACATTTTCCCTTAGAGTTGGGAAGGATCTCCATTAGAAAGGCTGGAGGGACACTGCCATTCAGTTTAGGTCAACTGCAGCACCCATTAGAGGGGTCAAAAAAGTCAAGATAGTGGCTGCAACCACATAAGTGAAGCTCTGCCTCTTTTTGATGTGCACCATGCCAGACAGAGATGGGGCTTTGATCCCCCAGTTGCAGTTACCATCTTGATTTTTGGAATCTCCGCCCTTTCAGATCATCCCCAACCTGATGCCCTCCAGATTAGTTGGTTTACACCTTCCAGAAATCTAACCCAGGATTTATTTCCTGGGGGTTGGCACTAGCTGCACCAATCAGCTAGGTAAGGTCAGCACAGACAATCCTGAGCTAAATGAAGGAATTAGATGTTACCTAGCTGGGTAACGAAACTTTTGCAAGAAGACAACCTAGCTCAGAGAACCCCAAGGACTCCACAGTTCAACCCTGAGCTACACATATTCTCTTCTATTGGAATTATTTATTGTAGGGTAACATTCTTGAGTTTGGCCAACTCCTTAATTCTGTTAGCAATTTGCAACTGCTGTACCGTACA